TTTATTAAAAATAATACAATCATCTTTGAAGTCATTTGCGTAATACCTAAATCATCATTTGTGTATTTCAAAACAGTTAGCTACGCAGATGGTCACAAGTCAGTGAGCACAACTTGAATCGTCTCACGATAGTGGAACATTGACAGATGCTATTAAAATTTCCGTATCATTGTCTAAACAGGTTACATATCTAGAAATCATTTTGTGTCTCTTTCATTCTACGTTGAGTGGTACCAGGGACTACATGAGAATTGGTGGTCTAAGACTTCATAACTTATCACCACTTTTGTACAAATATGAAGAAATAAACTTGTAGAACTTGTATGACAAGAACATTTGAAGATTATGTTGGCTAGAAATTGGGCTCTATGGAGAGATGCGGTTATTATCATCATTAGCTAAATTCTAAAAGGCAGCTTATACCGTTGGAATATGTATTCTTAGGATGAAAGAGTGGCTCACACTGCAATTCTTCAAAGCAAAATAAACCACAATGACGACCATCGTAAGTTGAATCGTAGTTTCAGTATATGACTACTCCGACAGTTTGATAGTGACATGGGAAAAGTTTCTACTATGTTAACAGATAATGAGTTTAGAATCAGATTGTGGTAATGGCTTTATATTTAAAATATTATGTTACGCTGCTTTGATGAAATAAAGACTACAAAGAAGTCATGAAAAATTCTTAATTAGGTTCAGAAAGCTAATAAGCGTAATTTAATTTTACTGAACTCTATTACTTCATCTAATAATATTGTCTTTGGGGAGCAGAAAAATTATATAATACTAACTGTAGTGCAAAGAACAAGAAAAAGCTACATTAAGCTTATATTGATCACACAATAAATCTACAAGCTAGACAATTTCATAAAAATATTAAAATTATTGCATGCACGATGGCAGAATATTTAAGTACATTGCAATTAATTGTACATGATAAGGAAAAAATTGAACTTGAAATTGAGAAAGGAAACTTGCAAAATGGAAAAAAAATTAAAAGAGTACTAAGAAGAGTAATTTACAGGATTTTACCATACCAGTAACCTGCTAAGATAAAATGATATCGAATTTACAAACGGTTAGTATTGTGGGTGTGCTAAATAATTGGAACTTGCAGATGAAAGAAAGACAAGGTCTATATTAATGCAGAAGGCCTTTATTGTGAGTATTAGTAACATACCAAAACACAGACAAAGAAGGAACGGATCAGAAGCGGGTCTTCCTATGTCCGACTTAATAAGTTAATTTGTGTTTTTGAGGGGAGAGACTAGAAGAGACGGAAGAAGAGATTTTTTCCTGTATTGGAATGAGATTTATGTAATAGTAACAACAAAAAGTAATACTTAACTTACTTCAGAAAATAATTAGAATATAATCAATCATGCCAGTCGGAATTACTGCTACTGCAACTTAAAGTGAAGCCGTACTGGCAGAATTATCAAGTATTTAGTCGTGGTTAGACATTGTTATCAAATAACGTTTTACAAAAAGAGAAAGACGAGAGAGAACCAGAGAACTTTTTGAAAATTTTACTGATTTCCTAAATTAAAACTTTATTGATTCCTGGATCAATATCCCAAATATCAGTTGAGGTGTGAATTATAATTGCTAATGACAGTAAGGAGGTTTGAACGTACACATGAACTAGACAAATATAATCTTTGTAAAGAGTACTCTTAGAGTTCTTCTAATATGATTTACGATTCTTTGTGTTCGACATGATATCCAGTTCTAAGAATGTCCTGGCATTTTCGGCAATCATCTCACTATTGTTCCTACGCAAAAAGGCGGTGTTCAAAAAATATTAGTTTAGTTTAGCATGTAATAATGATAAGGAAGGCATAAAAGATACAATTGAACAATATTTCTAGATTTATACAGGGACCATTTATTCAAAAAATCAGTAATTCTTTCAATATACAAGAGCATTGACAGCAGGAGAGCGGAGAGAAGGGAGGAGATAAGGAGAAAGAGGAAGAGAGAGTGCTTGTTAGAATCGTGGATGAACGGGGATTGGATGATTGGAACTGGTTACTTGCAGGCATGATGTTAGATTATTGCGAAGTGAAGGGCGACAGGTTATGGGGTTCTATTCTATGACAGGTTCTATTGGCAAAAGCCTTTCCACGATGGGGGCATTACTTTGTCCAAACTGAGCTGGCTAAGGGGTGGAGAATGACCAACATGGCAGTCTGAAGATTAAGCCACTCACAGATATTGTATATACATGTATGTTGCAGTATGCCCGGTAATTTTGTTAAGGAACCATTAGTTAAATTAAATTAGAATGCCGTTTCTTTTGTCCAAGTTGTAATGTGTACATGATGCAAAGAAATTAGTTTAAGTGAGCTGTTTAGTTATAAGTATAAATTATTTAGGACATCGTAGGCATAGGATAATTAGATATTGTAAAGTGGTGATAGGTTACGACAATTGATTAGTTTTCCTGTTGTATGAATCATACTTACTTTAGATTTATCACAGTTTTTTGCGAATTATTGTTGTTTAAACATTGTTTTTTTTTAAAATTATGTTGAACGTTAAAATAAAAAGGTCTCGCTTCCCGAAACGCTGGTCAGGCGCGATCGTGCTAGAGTTCGAAGAGAAATGCTGTGAAATAGAAACATAGAAAAGTAGACAGTAAATTAATACGCCTAATAGAATTAATTTATAAAAGTAACGCAAACATAGTCATCCCCAATAACATGAAATCAGAACCATTTGCAACAACGAAAGGATTAAGGAAGTAACTTAAGTCTAACACTTTTAATTACATTTATGGATGACAAAATTCAAACTTGTAAACGAATGAGTAAGAAATATAGTTGGGTCACACAAACTTAAGAAGTGTAGAAGCATTTGCAGCACCTTTCGCTGACAACACAATTTTAATTGCATAAGCAGAAAAAGACCTTAGAAGAAATTTAGAAATATGAAATAAAAAATTAAAAGAATATGCATCGACAATGGACAAGAATACGACAGAAGTAATGATAATAAGCGAAGAACACTTGGAAGTGAAGATTTGGAAATAGACGGCTACACAGATAGAACAAGTGGAAATATTTCACTACTTGAGAGTGGCGATTAAATAATAGCGGGATCGTTAGCGGACAGGACAAGAGCATGAAATGAAACACGAAAAGTTTATAAAATTGTAATCATACATAACACATACAACATAAAAATGGTATATATGTTTTCCATGTTCTGTCATGTGTTTTGCGTTGTATACTTCTTAGTGTTTTTAATCTTGTCTTTGCTACAGAACCACAAGCCAGCCTCCGTATACATGTGAATGGATTATATATAGTTTGATCGTATACATGTGATATTCTCCTATAGATGTTGTAAATTTAGGGATTTCCAAAGTTTTCTTTTTTCCAAATTACTTTCTAGTCGATTAATCTTTTTAATAATTGTGAGCATATCCTTCGACCTCACAAAGCCGATCACCAACGGATCTTAGGCCAAAGCTCATCCCCATTTTAAATAATTAAGAAGAGGAACAACCAGCATGTTAAAGAAAAGTGTTTATTTTGTTATCATAAAAAATCCTAACCCAATAAGTAACTGGTTGCCTGGGCCGTCTTCCTGCAAGGGGTGGCGAATACGGGGAGTTGAATAATTTAGGATCGGATGGCAGAGTCATCAACAAAAAAATATGTAGAAAATATAATACATAACAATCTATAGAATTCCACATAAGATTCGAAAATAAGAAGAAATAAAATTCTAAGACTTTATGTGATCAATATGGTCAAAGTTACAAGTAAAGACTCACGATTTCATTTAATAGCTAAATTTATAAAAATTTTACAAAATATCAAAGATGCTTATAGGCAAGAAAAATTCATTCTCATCATTTAGAATGTTGAATGCTGTAAGAATATTTACAACATTCAAGGATATTATGCTAACTCCATGGAAACGAATAGAAGGAGAATTCTACTTGATGTTAAATTATTACTTCTATGAGATAACGCAGAAAACTGTAAACTTACGTTACAATATAATGTTCATGTTAACCAAACATAAAAATGATAGGTTGTTGTAATTATGTTTGATTTGTAAACCTCCACGTGATTCACCATATAAACGAATAACCAGTTACTGATCAGAAATTTTTTTGCCAAACATAACACTTGTTGTGGAACGATTTATATTATCAAACGAAAGAATTGAAAGAATTCGAAAAGAAGAAAATAACCTCAAAATTAGAAGGAAAACTGAAACTTCCTCGATAAGCCAACGATTACCAAACCAACGTGCATCCAATCTTTTTGTTAAATGCTATTTCGAGTTGGTTTTGAATCTTAAGGCTGTTGTTCACTATTTTATGTTAACTTATAATGGCCATTGAATCATAATCATGGGAGTACCAATAGGTAAACAACACTCACTGAAAAATTGAAAATAATGTAAAATTCAGGAATACATATGGAAACTTGATGAAGATTTTGTCTTCCCAATAAACAATTAGATTTTAGAAGAATTATAGGAAATTCTAGAAAGATACTTGAAGAGCAAGAACATGGCAGAATTAAAAATGTTATAGTAGAAGCGAACAACATCATAGAAAATGGATTAAAATTAATAAATATCTTTGATGATATATAATAATGAGTGTTATGAATATTAAAACATTCTTCAATATGATTGATTTCTAAAAAGCTACTAAAAGAATCGTAAAGAACCTTGGAAATCAATTAACAACATTACAATATAACTTAAATAATTTCAAACATAGAAGCTAAACATAAAATTTTGCTTAAATCCTTCGAAAACATTCTTTTAACTCATGCCAAAAGTAACGAAAAACATTAAAAACCGTATAATCCTTGTAAAGTATCAAAACCCATCAAAGCAAACTACAAGTAAGTCAGAATATCATGAGAGAGACGGAGAGACTTCTCCGACAGGTCGCGCGACAAAAAGGTTTTGCCGACAGAGGTCGTCGCTGGCGAAGGATACCAGCGATTCAACAGTGGGGGAACACAACGGTTCACTCGGAGGCCTCAGCGGTCATCAGTCTTCGCAAGGACCTCTTAACGTTAGCACGCGACCCGCATTCCACATTTTTCGTCTTCTTCTTTACCGTTTCAACTCGGGTACACAAAAACCGGCGTAGTTTATCAAAAAGTTTTTTTTTCTCGGAAATTTGAAAAAAGACACTTTTGTGACGACGCGAACTTTTCGCCGGCCCAATGGATACGCCCAGATGAGATTGTGCAGCGATATCATCAGAAGTGATGACAACTTTACATGTGCTAGTGCACCGTACTTTTTAACTTTTATTTTTGAAGTATCAAGTAAAATTCGTGCGTTGTATACGAAGATCGCAACATGCCGAAGATCTTTTTGATCAAAGACCGGCTGCTCACGCAGCAGAAACGGCTCGAACATGCCGAGGATGATCTCTTTAAGGATAACTTGTTGGATTTGGATGAGGAACAACCTCTTCCGTTGATCGTTGGAAAGAAAATTGGTAAGTTGAAGGAGAGGTCGATTGTAGATTAGGAAACGAACCTCAATTTTTTTTAAATTTTTAATGATTAATTTGGCGGTGAGTGTTGGTAAAGAATGAAATGTGGTTTAATACGTTTTTTTGATTAAATTTTTATTTAAATTAGCTAAAAGATTAAATAATTTTAAAGAGGAGACTCAAACGGTCAATAAGAACACGAACGTTTCTTCCCCATAATCAATGTAATTTAATCCTTGTATGACCGATTAATTTCTTAGAAAACTATTCTTTTTACTGGTCCCTTTTAAATAAAAATATCGAATTTCTTCTTTTCTCCTAGTTAATTTTTGGTGGTATTTGAGAATGTTGCGGTTGGAATCCAAAACGGGTCGTAATCCGGGATTCGATTATTGTTTATTTCGAACCGTTTTGCCTGTGATGGCCTACAAAAGCCTCTTAACAAAAGCTAAAAGTTGTTTTTAAGACAACCCAGCCCACTCAACTCAAAAATTATTTATTTTAACTAAAAAAATTTTATAGCTAACTTTTCAATTTTATCACAAACAAATAAAATAAATCAAAACGTCAAAAGATGTTATAACAATAACAAAAAGGGCGACACGTTTTCATCACGCTCTACTTGCACGTGTCGGATTCAATTTCGGGGTCTTCACGCGGAGGGGAAGTTCGGGGTCTTTAAAAAGTGAAACTTGGACGCGTCCCCTACATTTTTTTTTATTTGTACGCGAAGAAACCGGAACGACCGCGAAGAAGAAGTGGTCGCGTTTCGTTCTTCAAAAAAAAAAACACAACACCAAAAGGGCAGCACGAGCCTGACCCCTAAGTAAGAAAGCACGTGGCTTTGATTTGCACAAAAGAAAAACTCGAATAATAAAATTTAAAAGAAATTGAAAGGAATGAGATGCGATTTTTTCATCGGGGATGAAATATAAATAAAAAGGTGACCCCAAAGAAATAATTGAATGAAAATTAGGTCATCAAATTAATTCAAGATTTGAAATAAAATAAAAAATAAATCCCATAAAAAACGATTTCGTAATTTCACCTTGACTTGTTACATCTAAAGAGAAATTTTCTTGCGAGATAGAGTGAGAAAGAACAAAATGTAGGGTAACCCATTGATAATGACCGACAAAACTCTTACAGAGAGGTAACTCCGGTGAAAGTTTTACGCAATCGGACACTTTCTAAATCTATCCAGTTGCGTCTTGTTAAATAACACAACCTTGAAATTTCTTCTTCTTCATTTTAGCTTTCTTTAAAAGCACCACATTTTTTTCTTTATTTTTTCTTACCTCATAAGGGGTAAAAGTCCTCAGGTGGGATCGCTCAGGTCTCGTTTTCTATTATATAGGGGTTGTATATCTAGGGTGGATGGTGGGGTACCCTCGATGGGCACCTGCTAGGTAGGAACTAACCTGTTACAGGTTCCCACAATCAAAACGAAGAAAAAGTGTATAAAAAGAACCCGAGACTTTGAAGAATGTATCCGGAAGAAAATTAATAAATTTTTTAATTCATTCTTTCTTAATGGTTTAACAGAAAATTGTTAAGTATATTTGTATTATCCTTGAATATATTTATGTCTTGCAAATGAAACAAGTAGGTGTGACGTTTTAGTAGTTGTGTTTAAGTACGTTCTCCGTACGCAATAATGACATTTAGTGCACGAAGTGTTACATAAAATGTTCTTGGTTATTGTTTAAATAATTTTTAAAAACATTTTAACTACAATTATTTGAAATGTAAAAGGATTTGTGCATTTCTTGTCTTCTTTTTTAATGATTTGAAACTTTTCCGGAAGATATTGTTACTGATTAATGATTAAGATGTGCACAATTATTTAAAATGTGGAAATAATGTTTAAGGATTCTGTTGGCAGATTACATCAACTTTAAGATTATGTAAATCAGTATCTATTGGGAATTGAAAACATCTTTATATACTCTTCAATCCCAAAGGTTTATTTTTACCTCCTATTTATTCATGTAATTGGTCATTGGGGACTCAAGTTTATATGCCTCTGAAGTATTTAGTATTCCTTCTGAAACATCTTAGCTATGCGTTTTATCGTAATTCTTTCTACCCGCGACGAACTTTTACTGTTGTTTTTCCATCTACTTTACAAGCCGATATCTTCGTTGTCTTTAGAGATGGCGGAATGTTAAATACACCACTAGAAAACCTGATCATTTTTTCATCTATAACCGGGTTTGAGTCCTATCGATATCTTGGTATCAACAGCGGGAAAAATAAAGAACATCGCCGTGTAAGAAATACACCACAAAATTATCAAACTTCATGCTAGTGTCCAGCCGTTATGGAATTGAATTTAAAAGAAAGGTGTATCATTTTGAAAAGAACACACTTTGGGATATTCAAATTCGGTGTTTGTTCAGTCGTATCATATAGGGAAGTTATTATCCCGAAAGTGATTTAATGCACTCCAAACACGCGGGCCGATAGAGTTGTTTTTACAAAAAGAAATGGTTTTCAAATTTCATTCTATTTTTGTTATAATTCGATAGAAAGAGCAGAAAATTTCCTATATGATTGATAGTGCTTTAGTTCCTCATTCCTACCAAATAGAAGAGTTATATTGAGAAAGGTCAATATAATTCTAATGATCTAGCAATTTTTGGCCGCCGATTGATATTGACCAGACAAAACTCGGATTTAGATAGCCCAAAGTGAGTTCGTTTCAAATTAATAAAGCTTGAAATTTGATAATTTTACGGTGTTCTTTATTTTTTCCATTGTTGATACGAAGATATCGATAGAACAAAACCCTAAAGATGTTAGATGAAGGAAAGATCAGGCTTTGTAGTAGTGTATTTAATATTTCGCCATCTCTAAAGACAACAGAGATATTGGTTTGTAAAGTCGGGTTATTTCTTTAACTTATTCTTTAACTTTAACCTTACAGTTTAAACAATAATTATTAAACATGTAGCTGTAAATATAACTATGTAATTTCATCCACCTGTAATTCATTTTTTATTTTTGCAAAAAAGAACCCCCAGCAAAAACAAATAATAAAACAACAGGATGGAGCCCTGCAGACTTCTTCGTTCTACTGGTACCCGTTCGTATTACGGTTATTAATACAGTTAACATAGCGTAGGGGGCACGAAGAGCTCATGGGGCTGAGGGCAGACTAATTAGTTTGGCCTTGAGGTTAAAAACAAGTTTTCGTTTTCTTTTTTTTAAATTCTTTTAGCAACAATTAATCCAACCACTCTTCATCCAACGTTTTTATTTAAATAAGTATAATCTTCTTTCCATATTAGTTCTTCTGGGATCACATCTTTTGCGATCACTTCTTCTTCAACACAGGTATAATGGAGCATTGTTCTACCTCGCACCGGTGCCCCTGTTGGCCTTGGCCGATGCTTTCGGCAATTGCTTTGCTTCTTTCCCCCCTTCTTCTTTTGCTGTGGGTACGATATCGACGTGAAGACGACGACGGGACGCGAAAAGGTCGAAAGACGAACGTTGTCTGTATATGTTCTTGGGAATAAAAAGATATTTATCTTCGTCTTCTTGGTCTGGTGTCCTGATTCAAGGATTATTCTTGGTCAAATTGAATAAATAATTTTTAGTTTCGAGGTTTTTAAATTGAGTAACTCGTTATCCGGTTACCAAATGGATTATTAAGAAATTGTTTAAAAAGGAAAACGAGATATTTGATTTGATCGGTTGAGAGTTTGAACTAGAACTTCCAATTTGTGATTGTAATAGGAGCGGGTTTTCTTGATATTATTCTTGTACATATCTCGATGTATATGGTAAAGAAGAGTAGTCGGACCATATATACGCAAATTTTTCTTCTTTCTGATCTGAACTGGTTGACATTGTCAAGACACATTTAATCAACTTCCATAAAACGTGAATGTAAATATAACAACTACCCGGTTTACTTCTCTTCTATGGAGTTGATACATAATTTAATAAAATTCTCGTTTTTTCGAAACAATTTGATTTAAACAATTCGATTATTAAAAAAAAACTGTTCATTGTCTCACCTTGAACCGGTCCCGCTTTTACGATAAAGTCATTGAAGCCGTATTTTAAAACTTCCGGATTATTTAAAATTAAAAAAGGATTGAAAAGTCATTAACCTGCATCATAGAAATTTATTCGCCAACAAAAAATTCTCTTTTTTTTTAATCACAAGGTGAATTTCGATAAATAATTCTTAAGCAAAAAGGGTTCGAGTATAAAAATCGATTTCCTACAAGGAAAAAGACTTTAACTTGTATACTGTGTATAAAAGGTGGCAGAGGATTATACAAAGGATTCGAGATGAAGGTGAAAAGCAGCACCTGCAGGCGATTCCATATAAACCGGTATACGATAAAGTACCCATGGCTTACGGCATTTTACGTATACCAAATAAAAACAAAATAAACATTAAAAAATCCAAACCAACCTGAACAAGATCAACGAATCCTTTAAGAAAACTGTTAAGGTTTTTACCTGTTATTGAAGGATTTTTGTTTGAGTAAAGATTTGTTTAAGATAAATTTCACAAAACTACTTATTGTATTCATAAAACGATTACGAAACGTTCATAAAACACATTGTGGAAACCACTTATTGGTTTTATGGGTTTGAAGTGTCCCCCGCACGAAACGAAAAAAAAATTTCAATAACTGTAAAACGTGCCCGGTTTATTTATAGAATATAAACCGATGGAATGCGTAAGCCCGGTAAATAAAACAAAAGGACACCTTGACTTGGCTCGGAAATGTCCACCCAAGAAAACTGAACAAACGTTTCTTATCCGCATTTGTATGGACGAATAACGTCGTCGTCGTTGTCGTCGTTGGTTACATCCTTTGTTGACGGACGAATACTAAAGCCCCGCTAATGTGTTAAAAGTTCATTGTTCCACCTTGAAATTCGAACGCGAATTCGAAATAGAGAATGAAAAAAAAAATAGAGATAAAAAACAGGTAAAAAAATAACAGACAGGCAACCGTTCCGTTCTGTATTATTATTAGTAGCGGTTGATTACCATAAAAACCTTGACTGCGACCGATCTAATACACCCAATGGATAGAAAAAGAGAGATAGATAAAAGGAGAGAAAGAACATTTACGTGTCGTTTACCGTGTGCTGTTACGCTGAACGCGTTATTTATTAACACCTTTTTCGTTCTATCCGCTTTTACCTTTTTTTAATAAACAATATAAAACAAATAATTTTTTATAATAAAAAATACTCAAATGAATAGGTTTTAATCACTAAATAACATGGGATTAAAAAAAATCGGATCTGATTGGGTAAATATGGATGTTGACACAAAAATAATATACTTCAGATTCTTCATGATTAGAACATTATATTATAATTACACTTACTATTTTATTCTTAATCAAATGTGACATTTTTCTATCCAAGCATGAATTGGACGATCATAACAAGGAGTTGGATCAAACCAGAGAAAGGTTCAAATGTAATAACCGTATCTGATTAATCAGGAAATTGCTGGCATAGCAACGACTTAACTTCGATTATTAAAATGATTTGTTAGGAACATGTTATTTTCTGTCATCTCTAGGTATTTATTCTACCACACAATCAGCAATCTCGCGTTTTTATAAATTTATACTTGTAGAACATCCAGTATCTATTATTTTGTTAACAATAAATCAATTAAAAGAGTGACGTACTAATATCAATATACTTGTAAGTATAATTATAGTTACTTATTCCTGCAAATGAGTTGTGGAATTGTTTTCGAATTAGAAAATTTGCTTTAAATCTGAATGTGCTTATTAGAAAGCTTGTTTGGTGTAGATGTGTTGGTTTGAGTTTGATTAATTTCGGTTTGGTTTGGTTGGAAATCATAACGTTTTGATTTGGTGTATGTTCTTTGAGTAATAGGTTTGGTCTTGTGCAGATTTATAATTTGTCTTTATGGTTTTAAGTGAATGGTCTTTTGTAAGCGAGAGGTCTGATAGTCTCTTTGCGACTGTTAAAATACAAATCCTTTCAAGTTAAATCTACGATATTAATTATACAAAACCAAAATGTTGGAGTTCCACAAAAAGAAAAATATGAAAGCAAAAGATGTTAATAAAAAGATATTTGTTAATGGGCAAATATTCTAAAACAAGACAAAATATTAATAAATAGTTGCTAAAATCTGGATATAAAACATTTATATTATTCCCATGTTCTCTCGTCAATCGTTGGAAGTAATGTCTGTTTCTTGCTAACACTTTGGTTTTGTCAAACTCTATGGTGTGTCCTCCTTTGCTGCAATGCTCTGTGACTGCAGATTGTTGGATTTTTCTTAGTCGGACATCCGTCTCGTGCTCCTTAATGCGGCATTCGATATTACGTCCAGTTTCCTCTTTTCCATGTTTCCAGATCACGAAAGTGTCATCGTCATAGCTGCGATTTCCACGGACTCTTCTTTAACGCTTCCTCTTCAAACATCTGTATGTAAAAATTGGCGATTACAGGTGACAGAGGAGATTCTATGGCTGCTCTTCGCATTGCTCGTAGAACTCTATCTTCCAGCTAAAATAGGCAGTACTCCACTATTCCTGGGACATACTTGGGCAAACCCTCCGGAATGAGTTTCTTGCGGAGACTATCCGCGGTATCTTTGACCGACTAAGATACTCTGGTACCACGTCGAAACTTATCAGGATATTCTGAGGGTCTAGCTTCATACTCCTAATTGATTCTACAAAATGTGTGGAATCTCTGACATATGACCCTGTTTTACCTGTACAAAGAGACAGAATCTTGGCAAGTTGTTTTGCTAGCTGATAGGTGGGAGAATTTATGGTACTGACAATTGGGCGTAGTGAGACCTTTGCCTCTTGTAGAGCACATGGGTTTGGTTTTAATGTGGCGGCATTGAAATTTATATTTTGATGTTAGAGATTTTTTGTAAGCAAGACTTTTAAAGGTCTGCTAAAATAAAGCGCAATTTAACCAATAATATGTTAAAACAGAATGAAGGTGGAAAAATGACAGCGAAAGCAGAATGATGTAATGCGATTAAAAGGTTAATTTGAACTCTGCTAGCAATTGTTAATATTTTCTTCTTTTTTCGGCGTTTAATCCTGGTGGGTTTTTGCTTGCTCAATTTATAACCTGTGTAATAACTATCACCACCTCCTAGCTACCATTCTTCCCATATCTTCCTCTACATTTTTTTTTCGGTCTCAATGCTCTCCAATTTATTATCCTCTCATAATAATTTTTCGGCAGTCCTAGTTTTAATGAATTTGACAATAATCTAATTCTGGATTCATTCGTAATCTCCAGGTGCCATCCTCATTTTGTAAAGCTTAAAATATTTTCTATTGGATTTTACGTTTAAATTTCCTAAGAAGTTAAGGCCTAATTTTCAAATAAAACTACCGAAACTGATGTTGATGAAATATTTCTTTTATTTCACAAATCCAAAGATCAATATCTACTTGAATCAACATCTTTCTTCAATACACACTTAAAGTCTACAGCGGAAATTGTTCATGACTTTTACTAACAGGTCTTGTCCAATCAAACATATTTCTTGTGTAGTAGCCTTTTCAACCTTTAAAGTACGGGGTTTGTGAAGAAAACACAATCTTTTAAATACCACCATAGGAAAAAATAACAGCTGGACAAATCGGGTGATCTTGAGGACCAGATACGTCATTTCCTATGTTTATTTTATGTTCTTGGTATTCTGATCGACAAAACGGACTCAACCTAACGATTTGAGTTCATTTCCACGATTACACCGAAATGAGATTTATTGTTAATTATTAGTACTACATTCGGGTTTTATTCAACAGTTGCATACGCCTAGCAAAGGAGGACTTGTTCGCAGTCCTTCACCTTCATCTGCTGAACGACCTCGGTTTAACTGTACTCACTCTGGTGTTTTCACCAGAGTCAATATCAAATTGAAATCAATACCAAATGTAGATGTTCTAACACTTGAGTGAAAAATTATACCAAAAATATTATAATTAAAACAGAAGTTTTACCGAAGTAAAGCAGGAAGATATTAAATTGGATAATCTGCGAATCTTTTCTCCGCAAATAGCTTGGTAAAGTGAGGAAATAACTGAGGAAAATCTACGAAACACGTTAGGCAGCTGAAAACCAAACTAATCCTCGAAGTAATAAATCTTCAGCGTTTGAAACATTTAATACTTCATTTCAACATTTCGTGTCTCAGTAACTTGAGTTGCTTGTCCAAGAACTTTCGTTTATGTGATAGGGTGTTACTATATTTTTCAGTACCAAATGACATTACTCTGATAATGATAGCAGAACTTGATGCCGTAGCGTTTTTCATTTTATGAGGGCACTAACTAGCAACTAAAGTTTCAATGATAATTACATCAACATACGTTAAGTGTTAAGTGTCATTTTCAGTTGGTAATTAGTCCAAAGATCCTAATATACATATAAATAACGTTGACATAACATCAGACAACCTCAAGAAAATATAGAATCATCAAAATCTCGTATGTGAGAGAGTATTTGATCATTTGTGATGGATTGAAAATTCTGGTTATCACACCAATGACGTAGCCCTCACAATAAAATTTATTTTTTACTTATTAATAACTAAGTTAATTCAACGTATATTTGATGATACCATTCAAAATAATGAAATATTCATAAATCAAAAGAAATTAAGACTAACCTCACTAAATAGAATATGATTTCACAATCTTACCATAAATATAAATACTTCATCAATTTGTTTAGTAAAACCTTTTTTCTTTCAGGATTATCAAGAGATAACTCATCGACTCCAGTACCTAAAAACTTAACAGCAGGATGTTCATCACAATCATCACATGATCCGTCAAAAGATTGTCCTCCAAGACGTTTTGTTTCCTCGATCCTTGGAGGAGATGTTCCCTATGGAAGCAAATCCCATATACTAAGTATAGAAGCCGAGGAAAAACTAACGTTGCCCTCGGAAAAGAAACCCTCCTCTAGAGATGTACCTGGCCCCCCACAACAACAGCCGCCAGCAGTTCGCTGTTCGGTAATCCAAAGAACCCCAAAGTCGAAAACCAAACATGAATCGGATACGAATGTAGAACTTCCGACGGCTTTTGCCGAACAGGAGCCGGAACAAGACCAACCGATTGATTACCACGTCCCGAAGAAGGAAGGTGAAGACGTGGACGAACGGGAAAAAAGAAAATTGTGTAGTTCGAAGGTTATTAAGCCGGTTTTGGCTGGGACAAGTTATAGTTCGTATCCGATGACTTTGTCGGCGGTGGGCCATGGAAGAAGTACTGGGACGAATGGTGGTGGAAATGGTGGACAAAATGTTAATAACACCTCAGGCGGTGGAGGTGGAGTTACGATTAATTTTGTTGGAGGAATTTCAAATGGGGGTGGTTCATCTTCAGGGGGAGCTATGGGAGGTGGAACTGGAGGTGGTGGCCCTGGAAGAGACGGCAGACAAAATTACGGACCAAGTTCACCACCAACAGGGTCATTACCACCTTTTTACGAATCTTTAAAAGGTGGTAATAGTAACAACGCTTATAACATAGGTAGTTTTACCGGAAATAACAATTACACCGTTGTTAATGGTCCCCACGTTGACCAAGATTTAAGTTTAAGTTTATCAGATGGGCAAAGTCCACCAAAACAATACTCAACACTTCAAAACGCTTCTTATAATGGTTTAGCAATGAAAAACGAAGTCGATATAGACTTATATGAATCAAAAATTGATTCAATGGGAAATTTTATGCAACCTGCTTATGGAAATTACGACGACAGTGTTATGGTTGATATGGGAAGTGGAGTTGATCCCTTACAGTTATCAGCGACGTTAACACTTAACGGAACCGCCGAAAACGCATTTTTAGAAAGCTTATCGGAAGCAAATGACCTTTCGACGTTCCTTCAAAGACTTCCCAACGATGAAATAGAAAACAACGAACTCTTAAACGGAGACAACCTCCAAAACGTTGAGACGATGTCCTCGTTTTCGGATCATATTTTAAATCGGAATTACGATAACCAAAACCGGTTTCAGCAGCAACAACAGCAACAACAACAATCGAATCAACAACAGCAACATCAATTTCAGAAAATTTATTCAGACGGTCTTCCTTCTTATTCGAATTTAAACAACGAAGCTTTACAAGTTCAAGTTCAGATGCAATCTCAAAGTTTACTTTCACCCGGATTGAGTTTTAATGGTAATGGAATCGAATTGGATTCGTCGTCAACCATGTCTTTACCATCGCCCGGTGCTGGAAGTAGTTCTTTGGATGGGATGCCACACAATGACAACAGTTCACCAGGATCTAACGTGAGTGCTCGACAAGATTCCTCCGGAGATGAGTGTCCTAGTATACGAGGAAGCGTTAACGTTTTACAAAAAAGGGTAAGCAATCAAATTGATTATGGCTAAAACCATTTTTCTTTTTTTGATTTTTCGATTTCAAATTAATAAAAATGCCAAAATCAAAGTGGATGCTATTCCCTTTTCCTCGCTTTACAAAGATATAGATATTCTAAACATATTTTTCTCTTTTTATTTATAGCTTGGTTTACCAGCTGAAGTCCAAATTGAGTTCGTAAATGGCGGTCATGGTATTAAAAATCCGTTGGCAAATCAAGAAACGGTTCGACAAGGTGCCAGAACCGAAGATAAAGCTAAAGTAGCAGCGATAACCACGGAAGATGGATCATCACAGTTCTGTTGTAGAGTTTGCAACAAAGTATTCGCGTTGCAAAGGTTGCTCAACCGACATATGAAGTGTCACTCGGACATCAAAAGGTATCTCTGTACCTTTTGTGGAAAAGGATTTAACGATACTTTTGATTTAAAACGACACACACGAACACATACAGGTAATTATTTTAGATAATAATAAAAATTGTAGTTGAAAATGGAATACGATTACGAACATAACGAAGAGAAACATTCATAAAAAACGTAGATTTTTTTGTAATAGTTTTTGTAACAAAATGTATTAATCCAAGGCCAAAGGATATATTTTTAGAAATCTCAGTTTGACCTTGGTAGATTACGAAATTATAACATATTTCAGATGTTTCAATCCACAAGGGCAAATTTTTCGCTTAATATATTGTTTATAGCTTGTTAAAGTATCTCGACAAAATATGAAAATGGGAGAGATTTCTTATTGTACCAAAAGTAGGTCGAAACATCGAATGACCGGTCTTTATGGTGTGGATGCTTCTGCATCTAGTAAATGTAGATGAGTTTGAGATCGGGGAATGCCATTCCAAGCCATCCTAACGAAAGGGTGTTTCTGCATCTTCGTAAAAAAAAACTAATTATAATGGTTAGTACTATTACTTCATGGTGTCGGTCTTCTATTTCCTATTTAGGATTCCTAAGGAAGTAGAAGTTGAAGATTAATTATCTTTGATATTGTATCTTTGTTATTATTTTGCATTACAATGGTCTTGTAAGACTTGTTATTAGGGAACCTTCGTTTTTTTTTCTTTCAAGAGAAATCTACATAAATGCTAATCTCAAAAATCACTACTCTTATTTCTTTGAAAATGTATTGACGACTGAACAGGTTTTATAATACAACTGATTTTATGCATGAATACTTGGTAAACTTGAACAATTACAAAAATATTACACATTTTAAAGATACTCTAAAAAAAGCTCTATGAATTGAACCGAAAAGGCCGTTATTTTCTGCGGAATATAAATTTGAGCTATCGGTTCAGCTAGCTATTACACAGAATCAGAGTTACCTAACAAACCAAAAAACATATAAAACGTTTGAATTTTTATAACACGAGCTGGCGCGTGTCATAAATTTTATGAAATTAGACCCGTATTAATAAGTATTACATTATTTTTAATAAAACAGTTAAAACACACATTTTGCTAGAGTAAAAATATTTAATTTATATTAAACAATTGTTAAATACATAAAATGAAATTGATTCATTTTTGAAATCTAACAACATTTACAGACTACATATCGGGAATTTCATACAAGTCTCAATATATGAATGCAATAACCATAGTTACGAAACTACAGTGTGCTTGCACTATCCCACATAAAATACAACATCCCTTAATAGTACAAGTATTGGGTAGTTTTGCAAAGAAAAAGTTTTGCTTGGAAAAAGGTGACGTTCTTATGATAACCTTGAGTTTTCGTCCGTCTTAAGATACGCACAGCTAAACCCAAATGTTTCTAATTCTGGGTCTAGTGTTAGGTCTACTTTTCGTTCAATAAAAATATCCCACAAGACACTAGACCTAGAAACATTCGGGTTTAGCCGTGCATCTCTCAAGACGGCTAAATCCAAATGATTCTAGTTCTAGGTATTGCGTTAGTTCTAGTGATAGTGCTAGTGTAAAACTGGAATTAACAGTAGACCTAGGACTAGAAACATTCGGATTTAGCCGCACGTCTCTCAAGACGGCTAAACCCGAATGATTCTAGTTATAGGTCTTGTGTTAATTCTAGTTTTATACTAGCACTATCACTAGAACTAACACAAGACCTAGAATCATTTGGGTTTAGCCGTTTTGAGAGACGTGTGGCTAAATCTGAATGTTTCTAGTTCTAGGTCTAGTGTTACTTCTAGTGTTACACTAGCACTATCACTTGGACTAACACAAGACTTTGAACTAAAATCATTCCTCAGACGCAGGGCTAAACCCGAAACTTTCTAGTTCTACGTTTAGTGTTAGTTCTAGTTTTAGTTCAATTAGAATATGCATCATAGTGATATCTTATGTTAACTGGCGCTACCTACCACTGTCACTAGAACTAACATTAGACCTAGAACTAGAAACATTCAGGTTTAGTCGTCTTAACCCTTTGAATATATTGAATATTTCCATAAACTTACGAAAAACCTAAAGGTTTGTTTTTTTGAATGGTTGAAAATATGTCGATTCCGACAAAATTGTCATTACGGACCTGTATTTTTTAAAAATGTGCAAACGATCCGAAACCTTCATGTATGACTCAAAATCTGTTTATAATACATTTATATCCCGTAATACATCCCATAATATAAATACGGCCTTATAAATCAGCAATGAATGTGTAAATTTTTTGTCTTTTGTAACTTTTTTTGCCTTTACAACGTCAATATATTTCATCATGTTCTAAATACATAGTTACATGAATACTTTAGCGTTAAATCCTTTCAAATATATAATATAAGGGGATATATTATAAAAACGAAAATTGTCATAAATTTTATGACAGCGTGCCCACTCGAAGGTTAAAATAGTAATCATTTTAAATCCATTTGATATAAGCATTATTTCAAATTAAAATACCGTTGCCCAAAAATGGGCCAAAAAATCTAAATGGACACAGCATATTTGATTAATAGATTCTATGATCGCTTAAAATGGGAATAAGTTTGATTGATAGCGTTGTTTGTTCGTCATCTAACATTTGTTGCATCACTCGTCAAAAATAACGGTAATTTGCGATCGTCTATTGCTTTAATAACGACTATAAGTACATATTTTACATAATTATTAACTGGACCAGAAAATCTTCAAGCTCTGTTACCTCATTTAGTATTTTGCATATTATAACAGCTCATTAATAATAATAAAAGCCTTCTTCAACTATTTAGCTATAAAAATTTAAGATTGGGTAGAATTTATAGGAACCATTTCGAATAATCAAGTTCTGTTTTAAATCTTTATGTCAGGAACGGACGTAATTACCCTAGGTTAAGCAATGAACTCATTCATGGTAATGGACTCCATTGACCGTAACATGGTCGATTTCATCGACGAAAAGCTATGATCCAATGACATCTCAGGCATAAAATCTCACGGTCACTTTTTGTGCTTGTAGTGGGGTCGCTTAAAACTCATCTGGGTTTGTTATTGCCCATTAACGCATATTATGCTTTTTGACTAAACCAAAAATGAGTTTCATTGCTGAAGATGATATTTCGATGAAATTCAGGATTTTCTTCAAATTTTAGCACAACCCAATATGAAAATTTCTTGTTCTCAAATGATCACGAGGAGTCAGTTTTGAAATTAATTTAATTTGGTAATGACATAAATAAGATTTTTCACCCAAAACTCACCACCATATGGTTTCTGAAATTCCTAATTCCCGTGAATAGCGTGAAATCGACTCCGGTGCATCATCTCACTGGCCATCATTCAATAATGCATACTTCGACTCAAATTTATCCACTATAGCACGCAGGCATCGCCTGGCGAGATGAAACTTGGAGTGAGCGTTCTTTAAGTTGCAATAACTTCTTCTAAAATAGTTAAAATTTATGGCCAATGTTTTTGTTACAATCTGATATCTGTTTCAAATGAAATTAATGTTTTTTTTGAATCTTGGACCTGTCATCTTTCTTCTGGACAGTATCATTTAAGATTTCTTCTTGAAGTATGTAATCTAGGATCTGCAGCGACAAAACGTGTGTCTTTGAGAATGTAGTTTGATGCTGACGTCCGCATAAATCAAGCGCAATGATAAGAAAAGTAATTCCAGTAAGATAACTGAAACATACTTTCGATAGAATTATTAACACAACAAAAAAAAATTAAATGAATCTGAAGAAACCTCAAAATAGTTTTGTTTTAACTAAAGATTCATTCGATTATGTTTTTTGTTCGAAATCGTATTATTTAATTTTTAGTTAAAATAAATGATTTTATTTTAATTTTTTTTCCAGGTGTAAGACCTTATAAATGTAGTCTCTGTGAAAAATCATTTACACAACGATGTTCCTTGGAATCGCACTGTTTAAAAGTGCACGGAGTTCAACACCAGTACGCTTACAAAGAACGAAGAACGAAAGTGTACGTGTGCGAAGAGTGCGGACACACGACCAGCGAACCGGAAGTCCATTACCTTCATTTAAAAGATAAACACCCGTACAGCCCAGCGTTGTTAAAATTCTATGATAAACGTCATTTCAAATTTACGAATTCGAATTTTGCTAACATGCTGCTACAAGTACGTACATAGAAACCGTTTTTTAAAGAATGTTCCCTTAATTTTTATTTTTTGGGGATATTTTTTATTTCTTTTCTGATTCAAAAATGGGGTTTGTTTTATGACTTTTTGTTTGTTATTATTATTATTTTTTTTTAGAATGATGTGGTGTTATTTAAATTTTAGATAGCTGTGATAATGATTTTTGAAATTTATATTTTTTTTTGAGAAAATTAACCCCTAATTGGATTTAGAAATAGGAAACGGTTGAAATCGATTTGTAGCAGCAGCGTGTTTTTATATGAACAAGTTCTATTTTAGAACAATCTCGGGTTACTGTGCAATCCTTGGTGTATGGTATTATATACATGGGGTTTAATCGTTTAAGATATTAATGAAACAAAAAAATAAGTAATAAAACTCGAAGTTTAATAATTTATCCCGATAGTTGAGCTCTTTTTCTCTATTAATATTATTATTATTATTTTTGTATAGTTAATAGTTTGTACTTTTTATTGGGAACATGTGTTAATTTAGAAAAGACTGATTCGGGGGAAACTCTTCTTTTTATTTAATAATTATTAATTAATTATTAACTATGTTTTTAGATTTTAAGGTGACTGTAATATATTACGAAATGAAAAAAATACACATTTTTTTCTAAATTTTTACGTGTTCCACGTTGATTCTGGTGCTTCATAGTGTCTTTAAAATGTTTTTTCTTATAAACAAGCTATGGTGCTACAGATTTACTTAAAAAACTTTCTTTATCAATCATCATTTTGTAATCTTTTTAATTTAATCATCTCAGAACTGACTAACTATTTCTCCTTTTTTACATTACATAAATCCCATTTTTACGTTGATTGATTTTGTTCTTTTATAAATGTAAATAAGATGACTCTTTAAAATAAGTATATTATTAATTATTAATTAAATAAAAAAAATGAAAACATAAACCTACGTCAACGAACTTTAATTATTTCTTAGCCAGTATCATTTATTTTGAGTTTTTGCATCGTTACTTTTATGTGTGTGTTTAATTTTTTTGTATAGGATGTAAGTTTAAAATATTTATGTCTTTTTTTACGACGCAGTATTTTTACAGTAATTAGTACATTTACTTTTCGAAAAATCGATAAAACGTTTTATTATTATTTTTTTTTAATTTCATTTTGATCTATCTATGTCTATCTTTTTTTTTCTGTCTTCATTAATATGAACGTAGTATCTGTTGTTATTTGATAATAAATTATTCGCAATATAAAAATAAAGTTGTATTATTAAATTAAAATTAATGAAAATAAAGCAAATTAAAAGGAAATCATAAAAATTCGTTGATTAAACTTAGATTCTATTCAAAAAATGCTGAAAATTTGTTGTTAAAATTAAAAAAATTGTAAGATTCAATAAAATTAGTGTTTATTTCTTTTAAAAAAAGTTTAGATCTGTTTACAACTATGGAAATTTAACGAAAATTGTTAGAATTTATAAAAAATAAATGAAAAACATTACCAATTTTTTTTTAATTTTTGAACATCATCAGAATTATTAAGATCAGATTCAAATATTTATGACTAAACAAGTGATTACTAGAATGTCATAAAAGTGCGGGAGCCTAATTCCGCAGTGTTGTAACTTTGTTCGGTTTTGTTGTATGAATGTGACATTTGGTAGCATGTTACTAAAGATTCCTCCAAGAATGCAAAGGATGGTTTTGTGCACTTTCAAGTAATGGTGTCCGATATAGACCGTGACACAATTTTGAGGCTGAGCTAGGTTGGAATGACTCAAAAGGAGATTGGAAAAATCACCGGAGTTGCCCGTAGAGACAGCACAGATCCGTCGTTCACCATCAAGGATTGTCCTAGAAGTGAAAGACCAAAGATTGCCGTGACTTCCACGAAAGGGTTAAACCGGTCAGGTCATAGTTTGAGCAGAAGACACCGCAGATTTTTGCGAATCAGCGGGTCAAGATCAATTCTAGGAACTACCTTCAACAAAAAACGTCCCTGGACATTCCAACAGGACTTAGCTTACAAGCATCTCGACAATCTGAAGAGCGCCTTTCAGAAGGCCACCCACGGTGACTGCTTCCGTCATCTCTGTGAAGGCGAAAGGTGGATACTTCGAACTTTGATTGTAAATTGTTGTTTGTTAATGTTTGAATAAAATTTATGCCTAATTTCATGTCTCTATGTGCTTCCGTTCTGTGTTTATCAACAGATATACCGTGCTACCAGACACCATGTAAAAGAATTTATTTGACTTCCTAGTACAGATACACCCAGGAAAAATAGAGTATTCAAAAGGCGTGAAATGTTGAGCAACACAATAAGCTAGTAAAAGAAATAATTGTATCAAATTATTTATTAAATTTGAAGAAGTGTAAAATTCACTTTCCCAGAACGCAAGTGAAAAATCTCAAAAGGATATTTACAGAAAAGGAATTAACAACAAAAGTTCCAGAAAATGTTGAGATTACGCTTCGTCTACCTGAAGAATATTTTAATAATTTGTTTCAGAGAAATTGTCCTCTAATAACAAAAGAAGATACAAATGAGACATGCTAGTTAGGAGTTATTGTATCCAATAAGTTTGTATTTGTCAAAAGTTTATATAACAACATAAGAAGATTTAAAAGGGATTATGATAAGCATACAATTTACTTATTTTAGGTTACAAAAATCTATTGGTTGCACTATTGATAACACATGTTATTAAACCTACATCTAGCTATGGTTGTGACTTCTGTAATAACAACACCAGTTATAATATACTATTATTATATAGATGCTATCATCTATGCACATAACCTGCAAAATCATATAGAGTATGATTGTGTATTCGAAGTAATACAGCAAGCATTTGGGCGGAATGCGAAAACATACATAACATTGGCAGAAGACTAGATTCTGCTTCTAAAAAACTAAATACTGGTTTCTGAAGACTAGATACTGCTCTGGAAGATTAAATACTGCTTTCTGAAGACTAGATACTGTCGGCAGGTCTAAACACAGCGTCTGGAACACTAAATACTGCTTTCTAAAGACTAAAATTGCTTTGTGGAGACTAAATACTGGTTTGTGAAGACTAGATACTGCTGACAGGTCTAAGTACTGCAAAAGAAAGATAAGATATTGTTGGAGAAAACATACATAACGTTGGCAGAAGACTAGGTACTGCTTCTAGAAGACTAAATACTGCTTTCTGAAGACTAGATACTACCGACAGGTCTAAACACAGCGTCTGGAACACTAAATACTGCTTTCTAAAGACTAAAATTGCTTTGTGGAGACTAAATACTGCTTTCTGAAGACTAGCTACTGCTGACAGGAAGATTAAATACTGCTTTCTGAAGACTAGATACTGTCGGCAGGTCTAAATACAGCGTCTGGAACACTAAATACTGCTTTCTAAAGACTAAAATTGCTTTGTGGAGACTAAATACTGCTTTCTGAAGACTAGCTACTGCTGACAGGTCCAAATACTGCAAAAGAAAGATAAGATATTGTTGGAGAAAACATTAAAAAGGCGCCGGCGCCCCCCTTTTTGGGTGACGCCCGGGTGCAGTGCACCCCTTGCACCCCCCGGTAGCGCCGCCTCTGTATGTATAACTGATTAATACCTTATTTTCAACCATACCTTAAACTTCCCTAGCGCCCTCTAAGGGGATGAAATTCACAACCCCTTTGATTTTTTTAAAATAACTTTTCAACGCCATGGAATATTAACATAAAAAAATATGGGTTGTAAAGCTTATTCATATTATTAGTACTTTTTTGTCTCTTTAGTTTTTCCTTAAAGATAATAGTTGTAGCTTAAAAAAATAAAATATGCTACATTGTATTGTTAAGCGTAAAAAATTTTCTTTATAGCTGGCTATAGAAGTTGTGCAATTACTAGGATCTAGTACTAACTAAATAACACCAATTAAATGTGATTTTCATAAGAAAAATCATAAATAAGATAAATGTCTGAACAAATTACGTTTTTTCAACAATATTAAAAAATTGATACTCTTGCTTAATAACAGTCATAAATTATTAATAGTAATCAACAATTATGAGGATTTACCTTAAATGAAGCTTACAAATTCTCAGAGCCAACTTTTAGAGTAATTTTAGCTAAACATGGCGGCACATAGCGGTACATATATATTTTATTTTTTTTACACGGAAACTATTAACTTTAAGGAAAATACTAAACAGACAAAAATGTCTGTTTAAATGAGCACACTAAAGAATGAGCTTTACAACCCATATTTTTTTATGTTAATATTACATAGCGTTAAAAAGTTCTTATAAAAAGAATCAAGGGGGTGGTGAATTTCATTCCCTTAGAGGGCGCTAGGGAAGCTTAAGGTATGCTTGAAAATAAGGTCTTAACCAGTAGAAAATACGTACAAGATTTCAAATTCTACGGTTTACTTACAACAGAAATATAAAACAAAATGTAAATTTTTAGCTCAACTTTGACAGCTCATAGCTCGAAAACAAAAGAGTTGCGACCCTATGTTTGTATAAAAAATTTGTGGTACTTTGGCAAGTACTTCCTAGTAAAGTTTCCCGATTAAAAACTGAACCATCCTGTATACAGGTATTTCACGTAACTGGTTCGTTAGAACTTTTTCAGGTTCCACTATTCGTAGAGGTTTGACATTTTGGTAGTATGGATTGTTCATTCGGAACTTTTGATCTAAAATATTTTCAAGATGGCCGCCACTTTTGGTCTACCGGAAGTAGACCATAACTTTGTTATTTTAAATTAAATGCTATAGTTTTTATCACACCGTTTAATTGTACGTACAACAATAGGTTGACTATGATAAAAGTTATTGGTACATATAGCTTTTTTGTTTTCGAGTTATTTTGGTTTTCAGCTTTTTTTTGGTAAATTTCACCAGGTTCTTTATAACCACATATCGCAGCCAACATTCTTCAAAAAAGATCTACATTGGCACGATTACTCTTGAGATACTGTCAAATAGACTGTCATTTGTTGTATCTGAGTATCTTATACAGGCTGGTCAAAAATTGTATTACTGTTTCTCCATATTCAATGGCGAGAAAGTAGAAAATTTTAAATGAAAAAAAAAATTTATTTTGTATTGATGGCAAATGCAATAAACT